GCTTCCACAGATCACAAGGAACATGAAAAAATTAGGAGGTTTAAATTCTAGTTGCTGACCGACCTCCACCACGCCTCTGTGATACCCTGATTTCACTGCATAATTTCCTTGTGATTCGAAATTCCATATAAGTGAATCAACCGAGTCTTGTAAGGCTATAAGAATGGAGGCTATAGCTTGGGCCTCATCTTCAGACACTAGGAATTTAAGCTTATCCACATCCCAATTCCTACTAATCGAAGTGATGATATCTTGCACAAACTCCACCCCAGATTCATCTAGTTTTGGGGATACAATCTTAAACTTAGGTAAGGAGGAAACCCACTTGCCATCCCAGAACCTTATAGAAGCCCCACTATTGACTTGCCACCTCAACCCCTTAATCAAAAATTTTCTGCCTTGAAGAATCCTCGCCCAAGCCCACAACGGCTGACGCCCTTTAGATGCTTGCAAGAAGGTAGAATAAGGAAAGTAAATCCCCTTCAAAATTTGAGCATGGAGAGATTGTGGATATTTGATTAACCTCCATCCTTGCCGAGCTAGAAGGGCCAAGTTAAAGGTATTAAAATCTCTAAAACCCAAACCACCTTGATATTTCGGGATAAACATTTGATCCCAATTCACCCAATGGATTTCTCTTCCATCCGAGTCACCACCCCACCAAAAATTGTTGATCTAGGAGTTCAAAAAAAAATTGGAAACGCAAAGCAAGCCACAGCATAGGATGGAATAGCCTGAGCCATAGCTTTTAATTACACCTCCTTTCTCGCCTGCGAAAGCAATTTCAATTTCCACCCTTATAGTTTTGAAAGAACCTTTTCAATAATGAACTCAAAAGCTTCCGCCTTTGATCTGCCCCAAAAAGAGAGTGGCCTAAGATACTTTGCGTTACTCTAAAGACCAAACAAACTACAGATAGAGTGGCATATATCAGGGTTTGTGTTAGAGGAGAATTGAGCGCTAGATTTGTCAAAGTTTACTAGTTGCCCAAATGCCTCACAGTAGATGTGCAAAGTGTCCAAAACATGTTGACATTCACTCATCTCCGCCTTGAGGAAGAGGAGCATATCATCAGCAAAAAATAGATGGAAGAGGGTCGGGCAATTACTAGAAATTTTTATGCTTGAAATCTGATTGCATCTTATACTCCAGGTCAGAAGCTCTGAGAAGACAACCGCAACCAAGATAAATAAGTAAGGGGAGAGGAGGTCTCATTAACGCAACCCACAAGATGGTACAAAGGATGTTCGCTTTTCATCATTGGCAAAAACAGAGAAAGATACAGTAGTGACACACTCCATTATCCATTGAATCCATAGTTGGGCCCGAGTAGGCTACTTATTGAATTCTGTAAGATTTGAAGATAAATTTAAAATAAATCAAAAAACACCTCTTGCACTTGCATCACTTTGCACCATATGAGCGCGTAAAAAATGGATGTGTCCACGTAAATGGTCTCAAATGTCGCAATCCCCTTGGCCAACTTGAATTTCCCGGTGCCGCCCACCACGAAAGTCTCTCTGCCACAGGCAAGTTGTATGATGCGGCCTTGAATCTCCAAAGTGCTACCATTGTATTCATTACTAGTAAAAACAATGGAACACAACAACTGCGTATTCGCCCCCTCTAGCGAGGACGTCACATAGATGCCCTGACCACCGGCAATTTCGGGTGAGTTCTTGTCAAGACTTTGTGTTATCTGATTATCGAAGACATAAGTGGTTCCAAAACTGTCAAATGCCAAGACCTTGCCAGGGATTCCGGTGAGTGTGGCCTCTGTGGCATTGGGGCCAGCGCAGTAATGTTGGACTTAGAGTGTCATGCTGGTTTCTTTGAGTTGGTAGTCATAGACTTGTAAGGATGCAACAATGGCTAGAAGGAAGAGGAAGACCAATTTGGTGAGCGTTGTAATTGATTTTGGTGCCGTTGGGAAGTGATAGATAGCTTCTAACTAACTCAATAAGCAATGGCTAAGCCAATATACTGAAGGATTTTTGTATTTCTTAGTGATCAATTGGTGTAATGGCCTCTATAGAGAGAGAAAGAGAGAGATTAGTAATTTCATATTGCTGGCAACATAAAATTGTGGCCACATGAACAATATTCCAAAGACAAAATAAAACACAGAAATATCAAAGAAAAAAAAAAAACCAGTGGTCTGTAATTGCAAGGGCCCAAGACTATGTCTATCAATCATTGTTCTGGTCAACAGGTTTTGTGGGTGTTTGTAGCAAATCTCTACTCTACTCCATGGGAATTTTGTCATTTCTTACTCATATTTGTTGAATTTTGTCATTTCTTACTCATCTTTGTTGCTTTTCACAACTAAGGAAAGGACGGCCTTCACTTTACTTTTTGTTTGTTGGGCCATTGCATAATTTAATTTTAATAAATAAATAATTCTTGTTAAAATTGTGTTCGGAGAGAGAGAGAGAGAGAGAGAGAGAGAGAGAGAGAGAGAACCAGTCAATTGTACGGTTGAGAGGGTAAAAATGAGCTAAATTCATGTTTTTAGGTGAGGTTAAAAATGAAATTTCACTTTCTGTTGCAACAGCTTTTAAGAAATTTTATTTGCACATCATACAAAGTCTCAATATACACGACAAATGTATTCAGACATAAAACTTCTAAACAAATGTCAAATGTTTAGATTTAAAATTATAAAGAAAAATAAATTATTCAAATATATACTCCTCGAAGAACTGTTTTACGTTCATGCATTTATATCCAAACACTTTTATATGTACAGGAGAGTGTGGGGGTGCAAATAGAATTACCCTTAACACACTCAGACCATTGAGCTCTTACAATGAGGTTGAGGACCAGATCTGTGAAAGACAGGAATTTGAACTAATTACAAAAAATGTTTTTTGATTAATTTTGTGTCTAGAATTATCAGCTCTTGTTTGGTCTAATTTTAAAAATCTGTTCTTTATGTATTTGTTCAAAAAATAACAAACACAAACATATATATTTTGATACTTTCAGAAAATAGATAGATTTTGAAACTCAACTAAACAGGGTGATTTGTCTTTGTATGGCCAAGATCATATGTTATGCCATTGGCCTCCATTTAACACTTGGAATATAAATATAAAAGAAAGGAAAAAGTCAACAATAGAATCAAAATTGTTAAGTCTCCACTTGGATGTTAGTCTCAACAATAGGCATCGTCCACAATAGGCATTGTCCTCCTGATAGAAGAGAGAGAGACCTTGTTATGATTTCTCCTTCCTCTAAATGATAAGATTCATTGGACTGTAATTGCAAGGGCCCAAGGCTATGTCTATCAATCATTGTTCTGGTCAACAGGTTTTGTGGGTGTTTGTTGCAAATCTCTACTCTACTCCATGGGAATTTTGTCATTTCTTACTCATATTTGTTGAATTTTGTCATTTCTCACTCATCTTTGTTGCTTGTCACAACTAAGGAAAGGACGGCCTTCACTTTACTTTTTGTTTATTGGGCCATTGCATATTTTAATTTTAATAAATAAATAATTCTTGTTAAAATTGTGTTCATAGAGAGAGAGAGAGAGAACCAGTCAATTGTACGGTTGAGAGTGTAAAAATGAGCTAAATTCATGTTTTTAGGTGAGGTTAAAAATGAAATTTCACTTTTTTGTTGCAACAGCTTTTAAGAAATTTTATTTGCACATCATACAAAGTCTCAATATACACGACAAATGTATTCAGACATAATACTTCTAAACAAATGTCAAATGTTTAAATTTAAAATTATAAAAAAAAAATAAATTATTCAAATATATACTCCGTGAAGAACTGTTTTACGTTGATGCATTTATATCCAAACACTTTTATATGTACAGGAGAGTGTGAGGGTGCAAATAGAATTACCCTTAACACACTCAGACCATTGAGCTCTTACAATGAGGTTGAGGACCAGATCTGTGAATGACAGGAATTTGAACTAATTACAAAAAATGTTTTTTGATTAATTTTGTGTCTAGAATTATCAGCTCTTGTTTGGTCTAATTTTAAAAATCTGTTCTTTATGTATTTGTTCAAAAAATAACAAACACAAACATATATATTTTGATACTTTCAGAAAATAGATAGATTTTGAAACTCAACTAAACAGGGTGATTTGTCTTTGTATGGCCAAGATCATATGTTATGCCATTGGCCTCCATTTAACACTTGGAATATAAATATAAAAGAAAGGAAAAAGTCAACAATAGAATCAAAATTGTTAGTCTCCACTTGGATGTTAGTCTCAACAATAGGCATTGTCCACAATAGGCATTGTCCTCCTGATAGAAGAGTGAGAGACCTTGTTATGATTTCTCCTTCCTCTAAATGATAAGATTCATTGGACTTCTCACAACGTCATCGGCAACAAACTGCACACGTCACCGCAATCCGAACACTTTACCGGACTATTCAATTGGTAAGAGCGACGGGCAGTGTGTACAAAGGGGAAGGACAGTCAACGCAAGCTGATGACTCGCGCTTGTGAGAGAGAGAGAGAGAGAGAGCATTTTGATGTAGGTCATGCAGAGATTCAACTTTCATTTTCTTTCCCATTTGTGGGATCATTCAGAATCAGCAAAAGTACAAAAACTAATATATAAACCACATAAAGGAAGCATTTGATTTTGTAGGCATACATACAACTACGAGGGAGAATATCAGTTCCTACTTAGCATAATCTTTTTGTTTAGGTGACAAAGAGGAACTTCAAGTCTGCCTCTGTTAATTTCCCAAGAGCCTCAGAAGAGCCACCCACAGTCCTGTAAACAAGTCGGAAATGACAAATGGTTAATTCACTAGATTCACACAGGTGTACATCCTACAATTTGGCAACCACTTCTCACAACGTCGTGGGCAACAAACTGCACACGTCACCGCAATCCGAACACTTTACCAGACTATTCAATTGGTAAGAGCGACGGGCAGTGTGTACAAAGGGGAAGGACAGTCAACGCAAGCTGATGACTCGCGCTTGTGAGAGAGAGAGAGAGAGAGAGCATTTTGATGTAGGTCATGCAGAGATTCAACTTTCATTTTCTTTCCCATTTGTGGGATCATTCAGAATCAGCAAAAGTACAAAAACTAATATATAAACCACATAAAGGAAGCATTTGATTTTGTAGGCATACATACAACTACGAGGGAGAATATCAGTTCCTACTTAGCATAATCTTTTTGTTTAGGTGACAAAGAGGAACTTCAAGTCTGCCTCTGTTAATTTCCCAAGAGCCTCAGAAGAGCCACCCACAGTCCTGTAAACAAGTCGGAAATGACAAATGGTTAATTCACTAGATTCACACAGGTGTACGTCCTACAATTTGGCAACCATCATAATGCATGTAAACTACTTGAACTAACCCTTCAAAGACTAGTTCTTTCTTCTCCTGCAACTTCAGAATCCTTTCCTCAATCGTGTTCTCAATAACAAATCTCACAATCCTACACATTCACAAATAAATAAACAAATAAATAAATAAAATAAGGTTGAGTTACTCTTCCCCTGAAGGAACAGCTATGGGTCATGAGGGGTACCTGATAGGTTTATATTGTCCTATTCGATGGATTCTGTCTTGGGCTTGTCGTTCCACAGCTGGATTCCACCAGGGGTCCATCAAGAAAACCTGTAAGGTAAAGCGTGAAACGCCACAATCAGGGAAAGTCGCAAGGGCTTAAATTAAAAACTACAGTAAAAGGAAGAAATCAGTACAGGAAAAGAAAATTGGGAAAATAGCAATTCAGAGTAAAATTGATTTGAAAAAAATTACACAAGTTATAAACTCTATAAACATTAATTATTATTATTAATAATAATTAAAATTCCAAACTTCTCCACATGTTTGTAAATATTTTTTCTAATGCCCACTGGGCTGTAATTCCCCCAAGAAAATTTGAGCAGAAGTAAAATGAATCGCTGTGCTTCAGGTAGAGGGCTCAGATGGTCTATTCCATCTAGATTCATTGCATGCACGAGAGAATTGGGATTCTACATTCCGTGGGAAGAAAGGGCATTGGGAAATGTTACTAGGGGGGGAATATCACATTCATGGTCTAACAATTCAGCAACCAACCAAATAAACCGAAGCAGTTCATTCAAAGCAACTAAAGAAATTTATAAAATAAAATATAAATTAAATTAAATAAAGGAAGAAAACAAAAGTGAATAATCTTGACATGGCCAGAAAAATTACGACACATAAAACCAAAAGCTGAGCCATTCAAGACCAAGTGGAACAATTACCCCCAGATTATGTTTTTCCCCACTAAAAATTGAACTAGTTGCCTGATATATTTTGTTAATTAAGACTTCACGAATTTCTATTTGAATAGTGATCATTTGAGTGCGCATTTTATACTATGCTTTTGCCACGGAGTTATATGATCTTAAAACAAACTAGGCAGTGTTAATAGGATTTTCCATCTCTCAATACACAAATAAGGTGGGTTTAATGCACTCTGAATTTTAGAGTTTAATGAATTGTGTTTTTTTGTTTTTTGTTTTTGTTTTTTTAATATGAAGTTGTCTAATGTGCTGCCGCTTGAGATTTCAACAATGAGTTGGTGTTGAGAGGGGATGGTCAATAGTTTAATCAAAAAGCTACCAAAATTCTTTTATGCATGTCCGAAAGTGGCAAGTTCAATGTGTGTTAAAAAGTATTTTTTTAAGTTAAAAGTAGTAGTTCCTCTTATTTTTCTTTTTAATGTTGCTTTTATGGAATTCCACATTCTAGTTAAGATTTGTAGCAGGAAGCGGAGTTAGAGTTTACCTCCCACTGAATAAACCCTCTGCATAAAACAATATGAAGTGCTTTTAGAAGTAGGCTCAATTTTATTAACAATAAGAAAAGAGGCTCCTTACATGCGAAGCAACAGTAAGATTCAGAGCAACACCTCCAGCTTTCAAGCTCATAAGGAAGATTTTGCAATCTGGATCATTAGTAAATCTTGTAATTGCAGCATCCCTAGCATTCATGGACATGGACCCTACTAATTGAACACAAGTAATGCCGGACTGCAAAAGGTCGATCACATCACTATAGTTTCACTTTTTGATGCATAAATAGAATACTAGTACCGAAATGTTTTCTTTACCTTTTGGAGGGAGTAGTGTATCAGATCCAAGAACGATGTGAATTGGCTGAAAACAATTCCTTTTGCAGAACCATCCCTTTCAACCATGAATCTGATTTCTTCCCTCTGGAACCAATCAATTCAGTCAGCATAACAAGAGTGGTGAACAAAATATGGACATAGCCAAAAAATGGACAATACAATCAACAGGAAAGTAGGTGCAAATCTATCAAAAGAATCTGATTGACCAATTTATTCTCTCACATCAGTTAAAAGTCATCATCTCATACTCTTCTACTTTGTCCCTATTTCACTTTTCTTTCCTAATTCATTCTTTGGTTTTTGATGCCCACATGAGGGGATGGATCGATAGGAGAGGCAAGTTGGTTGCATGATAAAATGTTTGAATGGCTGCTTGTTAGGATGCTTTTTCCCCTTTTTCATTATGGAACATTATCATAATTTCTAGATTTATATCAGACCACTAAACTGGTGATAGTTACTTGCATACATTACAGCCATAATGAAGAATCCCTACTGCCAAGTTTAAGTTTTTAGAAGTTCAAAGCCTTGAAAATCTGAAACCGAGTACAATAGAATCAGGAAAACTCGAGTACTGAGCAAAATGTAACATTTTAAATTGAGTGATAATAAAGTTGTGTTATTTGATTAGACAGCCTTCACCTCGTTTCCACTCCATCTACAGGCAAGCATTGTGCAAGCATGTCAGTCACCAATGTCACCTCTCTACCACGAATATGTACATCTTTCGTGCTCTCTCTCCTATGCCTAAACCGAATTGCAAGCATTGTGCAAAAATGGAAATGGTATTTGCAGATGCTTGTGGATATTAAGAATCTTCCTGAAGGCTTCATTTCTTAGAAGAATGAGCTGGTCAAACCTCACTTCTAAATTGCCTTTAAAAGCTTGCCTCAAACTGTATACAGAGGAATCACAAGTACTGGAAATCTAATGCTACATGGTGAAAGAAGATAAATTTTACACACATGGAATTCTCTTATAGTCAATAGTTAGGCTTCTTTTGTTTCTTCATTAAGCTTTTCATGCTCCAAAACTGAAGATAACAATTATAGCAACTGTGATAACAAAATCGAATGAAACAATTCACATACCAAAGCATCAATTTTTGTACTTGTCTGGAACTCATCAAGCCGGATCCTGTTTAGAATACTTGATGATCTAAACCCTTTAATGGTTGTTTTAGTATTTGAATCTCCGCTATCCACGGTTGTACTGAAGTCAACAGTAAGTGGTTTTGAACATGAAGGGCACGAGACTTGTCCCATACTAGCAGAAAAATCGATCAAACAAGACTTACAGAAGATGTGTGCACATGATGTAACCTGAAACAATTTAAATAATATCCATCACTGTACATATTAAAAGAGGACGAACCAAGAATTAGGTAAATATCAACGTAAATTTTGTAGCAAATGGGGAACTGACACCTATGCATATTCCTCACTATTTTGATGGAAATTGAAATCTAGTTCTTTAGTTGAGAATCAAAATGTGTATTATTTCATTATTACTTATAAAATTATGGTGTTGCTTTGCAAACGCAGCAGACACGATGCTTTTTAGTTCCAAAACAGCTAGTAACTTACGAACATCCAATGGAAATTCACAAACTAATATCGTCTGAACTTTGACAAGTAATATATGCACCTGAATAAATAAGAAATCCAAAACATGGGAGCAAGAATGAAGGGTTTTTTAGTTAAAATTATTTCTCCTTCCTTATAAAATAAACCAACCACAAACCTTGTGGTAAGATTACTTTGAAGTCATAACATGGGTAAATTTAAGTGCTGTGAGGATTTAACCTAGGTCACACATGGAAATGTCAACTTTTAAAGAATCCAAAGTCAATGGAAAGATGACTTGGTTGGTCTCCCAAGAAACAGATCACCATCAGAGATATATCACCTTTTGCATAATATATATCCATCCAGTTCAAAGTGGAGATAGATCACTTTTCACATATAACATGATAACTACATCAAGTATAATCAAAATTGGGGCCTCTTTCAAAGGAGAAGTTTGAAAAGTACCCAGCCCTAACTCGATAATATAGAACTACTACAAATTGGTTAGTAGTAATGATCAAGTGTCAATCCCAAAGGAAAATGACACGCTAAAGCATGGAAGTTCAAAAAGAAATATGATAACTCACCACAGGATCTTCTGCTGGGTCATGGCATAAGCCACATATTTGTTCACCACCAACACCATCCGCCACAGTTCCACTTCTTGCAGCAGCAGTACTAGAATATACCACAAGGTAAGGGTGATCAACTGCCTGTGGTGTTACAAGAGAGATCAATCAGAGATTTTCATATATGAATTTTTATAAGACAAATATATGATGACAACAAAAACATGTAATTGGTGCATAGCACAAATCACTCACCATTTAAATTATTCAACTTCAAAATCATAAAAAAAAGAAAATTAGTCGGACCAAGTTCTACCATTTCTCCTAAAAACCAATGGATGTTAGAGAGGGTTCATTACATCTTTTATGGCATTCAACATTGCACTCACAGGACTTTTTTTGGAGTGGTCGCATGGAGCAGCATTGTTTACACTAACAGTCCCTACCTCACAATGACACTCCCATGACTCGAACCCATGACAATGTGGCTCTGATGCCAGTTGTCAGATTGAGTTCCACCATCCCTCCTAAAACCACTTGGTGATAGAGAGGGTTCACTCATGTCTTTTATGGCATTCCACATTGCACTTGTGGGCTTGTTTTTAAAGCGATCGCAAGGAGTGCCATTGTGTACATCAACAGTTTTCTTGGATAAACATTTTAAAATGCTTCATAATATCAATAAAACTAAAATCAACAAGGTCAAGAGACATTGTCATAAATAAATAAATAAATAAATAACAAGTCGTGACTCCTGTCCAAATGAACTTTCTCAAGCTTTCACAGTAACTTGCAAGGTTTTAAAAAACGGCCGCAACCATTACGTAACGCCGTTACGTAACGGTTGTGGTGGTTACCGCCACCCGTTACGGCCGCTTTTGCAGTGTGATTGAGATTCACGGGTGTGTCGGCCGTACCTGCTGCAGTAGCGGTCATAACGGTGCCGTAACAGCCGTAACGGCCTATTACGCACCGTTACGTAGGGCTGAGCAAGGAATCCGTGAAATCCGTAATCCGATCTAATCCAATCCAATCCGATAGGTTTGGATTGATTTTTTGAATCCGCGGTTCGATTCCGGATTGAAGAATTAAAAATCCATAGTCTACGGATTGGTTCCGGATTGAACCCCACTGTTCCGGATTGAAACCGGTCCGGACCGTATACAAATAGTCTATATTTTTATTATACATCCTCCCCCATAGTATCTTCTCTTATTCTATATAAAATCTAAACTCAAACTGGCATTCAACATTGCACTCACAGGACTTTTTTTGGAGTGGTCGCATGGAGCAGCATTGTTTACACTAACAGTCCCTACCTCACAATGACACTCCCATGACTCGAACCCATGACAATGTGGCTCTGATGCCAGTTGTCAGATTGAGTTCCACCATCCCTCCTAAAACCACTTGGTGATAGAGAGGGTTCACTCATGTCTTTTATGGCATTCCACATTGCACTTGTGGGCTTGTTTTTAAAGCGATCGCAAGGAGTGCCATTGTGTACATCAACAGTTTTCTTGGATAAACATTTTAAAATGCTTCATAATATCAATAAAACTAAAATCAACAAGGTCAAGAGACATTGTCATAAATAAATAAATAAATAAATAACAAGTCGTGACTCCTGTCCAAATGAACTTTCTCAAGCTTTCACAGTAACTTGCAAGGTTTTAAAAAACGGCCGCAACCATTACGTAACGCCGTTACGTAACGGTTGTGGTGGTTACCGCCACCCGTTACGGCCGCTTTTGCAGTGTGATTGAGATTCACGGGTGTGTCGGCCGTACCTGCTGCAGTAGCGGTCATAACGGTGCCGTAACAGCCGTAACGGCCTATTACGCACCGTTACGTAGGGCTGAGCAAGGAATCCGTGAAATCCGTAATCCGATCTAGTTCAGTCCAATCCGATAGGTTTGGATTAATTTTTTGAATCCGCGGTTCAGTTTCGGATTGAAGAAATAAAAATCCATAGTCTACGGATTGGTTCCAGATTGAACCCCACTGTTCTGGATTGGAACTGGTCCGGACCGTATACAAATAGTCTGTATTTTTATTATACATCCTCTCCCATAGTATCTTCTCTTATTGTATATAAAATCTAAACTCAAACCTAAAACCGTATAATATCTTCTTTTATTACTTTTGTTTGTCAATTTTTAGTTTTAATTTGTAATGGTTTAAATACTTATGGTAAAATCAGTTTTCTTATGGTTGTTTAAATTCTAGAACAGTATGTCACTATTATAGAAAAACATATTGCTATTGTGAAACTAATATAGAGCTATGTTTATATTTTTATGAAATTAAAGTGTTATATATATATATATATATTTTTGTTATTTAATTATGTGAATCTGTGGTCCTAAACCGATCCAATCCGTATTTAAATAGATTGGTTCGGATTGGTTCCATGATTTAAACAGAATGGATTGGTTCCAATTTTTCAGGAACTGTAGATAACGGATTGGTCCTGATTTTACCCCAATCTGGTCTAATCCGAATCATGCTCACCCCTACATATAACCAAGTCAAACAAGAACGATCATCAATAAAAGTGACAAAATAACAAGCACCAAAGGGAAAGAGGGATAGAGAGGAGGGAAGATAAAGAGAGAAGATGGAAGAGCAAGAGATAGAGAGAGAGAGAAGAGGGAAGATGAAGAACATATTATTGATTTGTTGAAACTGTAAGATCTATACTATTCTATTTAGTTGCTATCACTCAACCATTTTGTTTTGTGTGTGTCTATCTATATATTGTCTGAAAATAATAATAATAGTAACAATAATAATAAGTGTGGTCATTATCTATTTAGCTTGGTTAAAATATGTATATATATATATATATATATATATTTAGGCTCTTATTTATTCTCTTACTTTTGTCATTGTTTATCTTATATATAATAGTTAGTGATTGATTTTTTGTATAATATAATTTTTTTGTATAATATAAAGTTATTAATTATTAAAATAAAATGTAAAATACTCAGTCAGTTTATAGTGATTTAAAAATATGAAATATATTAGATCATGCTTAAAAATTTACAAAAATTGATCAATATTTATTTTAAACCCAATAAATATGATCATGGAAAAAAATATATGTGTATCAGTAAGGTTTTTTCAAATTGTGCGAAAAATAAAAAAAAATTCACGGTTCCTGTTACCGTAACCGCAACCGCAACCGCAACCGCGCCACCGCCACCGTTACAGTGAGCGCAACCGCTTTTCAGAACCTTGGTAACTTGAGACATTAATAAAAGACACATTATGTATACTGATCCAGCATGCATGCTTATGCTCAAGCACATCATTAAAATATAGTATACCATAACTCCCTCACATCCTAAAGCACCATGTGAATTGCTTTTTCTACTTTATGGATTATAAATATTTCACAATTGTTAGTTACCTGGAACCTAAAGTATGCACACTTTAATTCTTGTGACTAACCAGTCACTTTCAGTTTTAGTGACCTTATTGGCACTTCCAGCAAACTATTAGATCATAATTGCAATAAATCTAACCCACTTCATTGTTCTAATTTATGTTCCTTATAAAATTATTACTACAATTATTCTTTTTTTCTTTTTCTGATAATCTGATGCAACTTTTTTTGAGTAACAATACGTTGATCAGCCTAACTATCACCAAATTTTAGTAGTATTGGGCTCAATTGGATACTGTGATCAAAAGAATCAAATAAAACCATGAAAAGGACCACTGTCAAATTAAAATTCGTAATTAGTAACCAATCAAGAAGGAAGAATGCAAGGAAAAAAATTCTTAGTAGCAGGAATCGTGGAAGGGACTCACGTTTCTGAGGAAGAAGCGCGATATTATCTTCCAAAGAAGAATCGCATAAGAATCGCGCTTCTAATGCAAGAGAATCACGATTAGGGCTGAGACCTTCTCTCACTGTCGATCTCGACTGTCTTTGTCTCTCTCTCTTCTCTCAGTCTCGATCTCCTCTTCATCTCTCTTCGCCTCTGTTTGCTTCGTCTCTCTCTTCGTCTCCCTCTCTCGTCTCTGTTCTCCCTCTCTCTCTCTCGATCTCTGTTCTCCCTCTCTCTCCCTCTCCGTTTTTATATTTGTTTTATATAATATAAATATAATTTATCATATATATATATATAATATATATAATATAATTTATAAATTATAATATTTATAATATATAATATAATTTATCATAAACAATATAATTTTTATGTCTAAAATAAAAAATTATTTATCTTATCATATATAATATAATTTATTTTATGGCTAATATAATTTTTATTTGTTATTTATTTATTTTTTAATAGAATTTATTATTTCTTAACTTTTTAACATGTAATAAATAAATAAATCATCTAATTGTTTTAAAAAAATCTAATTAAATCATATATAATTAAAAAAATCTAAAAAAATTTATAAAATAAAATATCTAATTTTTATTTTTTATTTATTTTAACATAATTTATTTTTCCTTAGCATTCCCATGACTAATAGTCCTAGGACTACGAATCCGTTGGATTATGTATCCTATCTTAACTAATAGTCAAGTTTAAAATAATTAGTCCGTACTTCAATTATTTAATCAAACATCGGATTAATAATTTTATTGGACTATTAGTCCAATCCCAAGCTCATGTCCACCCAAACAAACATGACCTAAGTGGCCCCGTTCCCCCGCTCCCGCTCCCGCTTCGTGCAACTAAGGGGTTCTTTGAGGTGTTTTAAATAAGTGCACTTTTTGTCTTTTTAGACTAAAAGGTTGAAGGAAAAAAGATGGCTGTTTGGGATAACTTTTTGACTTTTTACGAAAAAATGTGTATTACAAAATTATATGAAATAGGCTGTACAATAGGATGAATTGAGGGATAGCGTCGACAAAGTAGGGGCTGAGAAATGATTCCTTGCTTTTCGGGCATTGAATTAGAGGTGTTGTTCGGCCCGTGGGGGCCCATCACGGGTCCCGTTTTGCTAATCAAAACCGTCAATATGTAGAACTCGTCGAGTACTATATTCCTGTAAAAAATTACATTGATCGGATATCGATAGCTATCTGATCGATTTGTTTGTTTTCAACCATTAACTATAATACCATCCATTTTATAAATTTTAACTGATTTTATCATATAGTTACCGATATCTGATCAATGTGATTTTTTACAGACATATAGTACTCGACAAGTTCTACACATTGAACGGTTCAAATTATTAAAAAGGAACCTGTGATGGGCCCCCACGAGCTGAACAACACCGTGTTGTTTGAAAAGGAAGATTGTGTAAAATTATTTTTTTAATACTTTTTTTGGGAGAATAGTGATAACTTTTTAACATTTTTAGTAATTTTTTGACTTTTTAACTTTTTAACTTTTTTTTGAGTACCCAAACCAGGCCTAAGAAAAAATTCCATGCACCCTAAGCAAAACGAAAATGATTAATAAGCAAATGCAATATTCACACAAATGTCAAAATACTGTAACTTTGTTCTAAAATGATAAATCACCATCTACCACATGCCAATTAAATAAAACCTTTTTATTGCAGTTTTATTCTCCCACCAGAATAAAACAACAAAACCGAATTCCCATGATATGTCAGGGTTAAAGATGACAGCAAGCCTGATCTACAGTGTAACAAGCCCCACCACATAGCACCATAGCCCTATTGGGACAGGTTGTGGAGCAATCAAATGGGTAAGGGATTAAGTTCAGAACCAGGTATGTAAACCCAACCAACCCATGCTCAAAGCTATGAAGCACGGACACGGACAGGGACACGCATACGGACACGGACACGAGACACGGCAATTTCTAAAAAATAGGGACATGGGCACGGACACGGTAAGGGACACGGCAAATTTTTTAATTTTTTTATAAATATTTTTATTTTAATACACATTAATTATTTTATTTATTTATTATATTTTTTAAATAATGTGTTTCAATTAATTTTTTTATTTTATTTTATTTTACATACAATTATATGTCATAAAATTATAAAAAAAAAATCATTAAAAAGTAATAACATATACAACATAACACTATTAAAATTATAAAACATAAACATTTAATTAATTTAACATCATATGTATCATTCACAAATAACGTACATTATTAAAAATTGATTCTTATAATAAAATTAATAAACATACATTATTAAAATTAATAAAACTAATCAAAAAAAAATTATGTACTCAAATAAAAAATAATAACTATAAAAGAAAATTATAACTAAGAGAAAAAAGAAAATAAAAAATAAAAAAGAGAAAGAGAGAGAGAGAGAGACGGATCAATTGTATAAAACAAAATAACGAGTTATATAACTCATTATATAACTCAAAAAATAAAAGAAAACAAATCAGACAGAGGGTGAGAGAGGGTGCGAGAGAGAGAGAGAGAGAGAGAGAGAGACGACAGCGACTTAGTAAATCGGAGAAAAGGAAGAACGAAGAAGAAGAGGAAGAAGATCGACGACGAAGAAGAATAAAGAAGAGAAGTGGGTACCTTAATGACAGGCGACGACGAGACACGAGTGACGACCGACGAGGAGTACAGATGAACGACGAGCAACCAGGTCCTCTCTTCCCTCTCTTCTGTTCTCCCTTTCTATTCTGTGCTAATCGACGAGTTAGGGCATATATCTGTTTTACTTATTTACAAATCGCCCTCAAAAAAGTCTTGCAAATTGTGAAATTACCCACGAACGTGTCCCAAAAGTGTCAATAACGTGTCTGGAACGTGTCCGGATGTTTAAAAATTAAAAAAAAAAAGGACACTCTCTGCTGCGTGTCGGACACGTGTCAACCGCGTGTCCAACGCGTGTCCGTGTCCGACGCGTGTCCGACACTGGTACGGAGCCCTCGGAGAGGTGTCCGTGCTTCATAGACCATAGCCCTATTGGGACAGGTTGTGGAGCAATCAAAATGTGTAAGGGATTAAGTTCAGAACCAGGTATGTAAACCCAACCAACCCATGCTCAAAGCTATGAAGCACGGACACGGACAGAGACACGCATACGAACACAGACATGGGACACGGCAATTTATAAAAAATAGGGACACGGACACGGCGGGGCACACGGCGAATTTTATTTTATTTATTTTTATGTGTTATGTAGATTCATATTATATTCAACACACTCCACTTCACCTAACCCACTATCACCTCCACTACACCTACTACCACATTTTCTTCTATATATAGATTGTATAGGAATTGTAATTAATCAATCTTGTAACATCAATATCAATCAATAATACATAATTTTTAACAGTTATTATATAATAACTAAAAATGACAGAAGCAAGGGAGAGAGAGAGCGAGAGGGAGACAGGTCGAGGTCGCAATCGCGAAGGAGAGAGACAGATTGAGAAGGCGAGAGAGAGACAGATCCCGATCGTCTGGGGTGTTCGGTTGTTCGATCGACTGATGGAGCTTGGAGCTTCGATCTTCAACTGGTTTGTCTCTCTTCACTCTCTTCCTTCACACTCTCTCCTTTGTCTCTCCCTCCTTGCCGTGTCTCACATCGTGTCCAGTCTGGACATGCGTGTCCCTACAAGAAAAACAATTAAATTAAAGAGACACGACAGATGGCGTGTCCCGTACGTGTCCCTGTGTCCGACACCGCCACGGCGCTGATTTTGCCGTGTCATGCTTCATAGGCTCAAAGCAAGGTACGGATTAGGACCTTGATGCAATTTACACCACTAGCCTCCATAGTTTCTAAATAACCTGGTGCATCCTGGTGTGTTCATACATATAGAGGGATGAAGATTCAAAGAAAGTCTCATTTCTAGCATAAATTTGGCTCTATAAACACCAGAAAGAGACTCCTTAAATGAGGCTTACAGCACGTTTGAGTAAAGATTTATTAAGCTTTTTAACTTTGATTCGTGTTTCGTTGAGAGATGGATAAAAGGAGTACTGGCATTGAAAGTTTAGATCTACTTATGCAATTGCCTTAGCCAATGCACTATGCACTAAACAAGGATGCAGTTTTATACAGATAATTTCGAGAAATAAATTTATCCTCTCGTCAGAACATTATGTAAAGAGCAAGTGGGCTCCCCTCAATTTCACAAATTATTAATAGACGACAAAATAGGTGCACCAAATTATGCCCAGCGGCACAGGACGCCATGTGTATGCGAGTGTTGCAAATATAAATGCAAATATAAATGGAAGGTTTGGGAGGTGGCAAGTCATTATTTCTAAGCAAAGTCAACAGCGTAACCATCCCGCCTGTCTGAATTTTTTTCTTGCCGAGCCCAGCCCCATCACTGATTTGGAATTGTGTTCTCCACTTTTCCCTTATTAAAGCAGGGATGGGAACTGCGGGCACACCCTCTCCAACCAGCCCCATTGCCCTCTATTACGGTGTACCACAAGCCATCTACGAGAATTATAATAAGAATAGTACTTAACCTGCCGCAATCGTGTGAGGAGGTCAAATATGTGAGCATAGTTATTCAGCACAGTTCCCGCCTCAACATATCTGCACATTAGAAAGGACATCACATAAACAGGACGAAAAAAAAATAACTTAGTTCCCAACTAAATGAAATTTTGAAACCAGAGAGAGTGAGGCATTGAATTTTAATGTGAAGCATAAAAACAAAATTTGCTCAGCAAATTCCTAAGCAAAGGAACACCAGAGGTGATCCAAATTAACTGGATGAACGGTATTCATCCCATCTTACTACTGGAAGACTTAAAAGAAAATACATGATATATATTGACATCAAATTTTCAACAACTGAAATGCTAAAAAGATGGAAAAGTCATTTATAGACCCATTTTGACAGCCAAACGATGACTGATAGGCCAATCCAAAATCCAAAAAAGCAATAGCCTGAGAAGAGACCATGTAGAGTAATTCCAATCAATAAGAAAACAAGAAACCCTAAATATTTACGCCCATATCAAGGCTCAAGTGAAATCCAAACAAAAAATGTCTGTCAACAAACAGCGTATGACACCCATGGTCCCTTGCACCTATGATGAGTCAAAGCAATATTCAGAAAGTCCACCAAATAATGGATTCAGTCCAATCCAAACTCATCAACCAGAACTGCTCACTGCTCAAGAGCTCAGCCTTGTAAGGTGTTTTCCAACACACAAGCAGGCACAAACAGATGCACAAAAAATAAATAAAAAACACTTCACATATGTCGAAGGACAAGTATTCATTAATAGCAAAGGAGAACTTTATTGAAAAAGAGAGCACTGGGATGATGAAAATGAGCAGAGGTTCTTAAAAAGTAAAGAGGCAGTCCTAACATAGTGGATAAAACACAAAAGATGGAGGTAATCAGATGAGTGTATTGTCCATTAAAAAAATGGCACCCCATTGAGAGTGGTTTCTTACATGAAAGAAATAAATTGTTAATGCAAATAAAGTTTATATCCTCCAACAAGAATTGAAGGAATGGGTCTATAGTATTATATAGGTTCATTGTTTTCCTCAATTAATGTAATACGGGAGACCCCTTTGTGGGATAAAGACATGCCTCCTTTCATGTGACAATTATAAAGAAAACTACACATCTTTTTCTTCTTTTTTTTAAATAGAGTGTGCGCATCCAAAAGAGTCCCAAGCATTAAACGATGCCACAAACTGGAGTCACGGACTTGTAAAAGATGGTTTGTAGAAGGGAAGGAGCAAACATTGTGGATATAGAGAGTGACATACGTATTAAATTGTGATTGACTGTCATTATATAATGATGTGTAATAGTCTTCTTCTCTGATATCCAGAGTGTCCCGTCTCAATGTAACCTGTAGAGGGAAAAAAATAAAAAAGAGAACTTGATATCAGAAAATTTTGAAAATAGCTGATGCAGATGAATGTCGGTGGCAAAGTGAAATTACTTACAATTCTTGGAGGAAGTGCAAGATCTGCTGCCCTGCCCTTTTTAGTGCGTCTTAGCAATATGCTCCTCAAAATTTTGTGCTTTAGCAATACCATAGCTTTTCTACCATTGCCAATATTCCCGTGAAGTTGTATTGGTGTAGCAATATACTTTTATGAATTGCAGATTGGAATACATTACAGCATCACAAATATTTCAATACGACATATATATATACCTAAGAACAACAACAACAATTACACCAGTACCGAATGCATAACTCACCTTGTTCCACCAGCAAAAGTGCCTCACAGATTTATGAGGGCAGTTTGGACACTGAGTTGAAGAACTGTAACGGGACAACAAAGTTACAAAAGAGAAAACTGTTAAAAGTTGATTAGGCATTCCAACCACAAACAAATACAAACAAAAATTCCAAAATTACAGAGAATAGGGAAAAAGAAAAGATCCAACTAAAGCTGAGATAGAATAACTTGGCAGAACAGCCAGCTCCACAGCTGCAGATTTACACGAGATGCATGCAAGAAAGTAGAAATCCAAAGACAATTAGAAGGAAATTTGAAAAAAAAGGCATAATGCAGTAAAGCAGAAAATGGCCCTCTATGCACAGTTCTCTACAAGCTGACATGGTACACCTAATGTTATCTCAATTAACAATAATCAAGAGGATGTATTTTTCATGACAACTTGAACCTCTAGATCAAAGGCTGCATTTGGCACAACAACAAAATAAATAGGGATTTCAAATTTGCATACTATAGAATTGTCCTAAAAAATTATCTTCCTACCAAAATGTAAAATGTCTGGATACAAATGACTCATGAATCTAACAAGAAGCAAAGACATCAACAACGAACTATACAACGTTCCAAGTTACAACTACATCAACATTGGCCCTATTGGGCAATGGTATCAAAGTTTGGGTTGCTATGGAAGGTTCCAAGTTCCTTTACTCATGCAACTTCAGATAGGTGCATAAAGCATGAACAACCTAGAGCCATACCTGTAATCAAGTGTCCTGCAATCACAATCCTTACAGAAGTAATGAGAGTAAGGATTTATCTGTAGGAAGCGGACCTGCATAAGTAAAACAAAAATTATAAAATAATTTAGATGTAAAAGTTGAATAGAAAATGTTAACCCACATAAAGGCTATATACTCACCAGTGAATAAAGCTCTCCAACACGGTTCTGAAGAGGAGTGCCACTTAAAGCCCATTTGTATGAAGATTCTAAAGCAAGGACAGCTCTTGTAGTATTACAGCGTCTATCTTTTATATAATGAGCCTATATTTGGGAGAAAAATGTGTTATGGAGTGAAGAATTCAAGACGTTCTGAAAGCATAAAATTTGTAGTAGGAAGTCGATAGTACAATCATTGTTTGAAACTTTGAATGCAAAATATTTATGGGCAGAAATGAAATCATAGACAAAGTGGAACAAAAACGAAAAAACAAAAAAACTATATTAATGAGTGCCATTAGACATTTCGAGATGAACATGTGTAATTTCCATTAATGCCACCCAGAGGGAAAAGAAAACAGAAGACAAAGAAAAAGCCTAAAGGGGAGGAACAGAACTGTTTTTTCACAATTAGCAATAGAAAATTTATTCCTACCAAAATGTAGTTAGACAAAAATAAAATATAAAATATAAATATCACTGAAACTATAACAATGATAATAAAATCCATCTTGCTTCCCCAGCAAATCTAGTTGCAGTGATCTCTTCAGATGAAACTAAATTCTCATAAAACTCAATATACCGTTTTACAGATTGTTAAAGTTTTAGATTGTGAATGGTCTTGGGCTGGTTCATACAAATCTTGTGCATAGACTATCTGTATGTTGGCCATATATAATTCACTTGACCTTATAAAGTGTAATAAGCAGTAGTAAAGCCAAGTTAGAACCTTCAAGGTTGTTTCATTAGATATTAAATCTCAATACCTCTCAACAAGATGAATCAACGAACCAAAACACTTGGTCATAAGACGACTCCTCCCATATAGAATTTAACAGCCATACTATCTACAAGGCAGTCTGAAACATCCAGTCCCAAGGATGTAAGGGCTTTGTGCATAAATATCTATATATGCGATATACATGCATAATGGCACTGCATGTATTAATTTGCAAATTACAGAAACCCTGATATATCATGTACCCATGATGTTTCTTCCCAGCCCCTCAACAATAACTCTGTAAAGAATCTAAGTGCACTCCTTATCTTTGATAGTTATATTGCCATACAAAATAATATGAATGTTGTACTAACGGATTCATCAAGATGATGAAAATTATAAACAATTGCTCTATATTCCATTCCTCAAATATTAAAATTAAAAAGTTTATCTTAGGATAGAGACAGTGATCCTTTAACATTTCACAACATTGCCTCAGTGTGTCTCACCACAAGAAAGGTTGTCCGTGTATATAAACTATAAAACTTCATAGATCCTACCTATTTTCTACAAACTCACATATAACTCAAGCTGGAGCCTACCCAAAGAAAAGCAAGAAAGTATGAAAGGTTTCCTAACAGAATAAATTGAAGTTACCTCATCCAAAATAATGCGGTCCCATTTCAGAGAGTGCAAGATAGAATTCTTTCTGAGCAAACTTTCCTCAACACCTGCTGCATCGTCCTTGGAAGAACCAATTCCCAATTCTTTTTCTTTGTTGCCCCGCTTCAAAGTTTTCTTGCAGGCACCCTTTTTTTTGTCACTCTTAGATCCACTAGCCTCACCTTCAGCAGATGCTGATTTGTGCTTTGACGATTTCAGTGAAAGTTTCACACCCTTCCTCTTTTGTTTTGACTGCTTAGCAGTTTTAACAGCATCAGGCCCACAAAAATATTTCAAGTGAATAGACATCCTACGATCATAAAATAACTTCCCACACCACTGGCACTTCTCTTTGGGAGGCATCACATTTTTTCTGTATTCTGACTCAACAATGGAGTATGTAGTTATGACAAAATCATATTCAGTGAACTGCCTATTGGGCAATGGTATTTAGCCCCATGATAAATCAGTACTTTGTTGCTTCCTTTTGAGGTGAACTTCTCAATCTCACTTACCCACTGAATTACAGCAACCAAGGGACAAATAACGAGGGTACCTTTAATTTCAGGCAATCCTGTGGATGAGCAGGGTGAAGGTGAAAGTCCATTGGGTTCACAAACTGCTCGTCTGAATTCTCGTTTAGCAAGGACAAGGGCAATTGCTTGAATAGTCTTCCCCATACCCATCTCATCAGCAAGTATCCCTCCTCTTGTGGCAGACTCTTCTTGTTTCAAAGCCCAAGCCAACCATTCGTTTTGATACCTCAGCAGAGGCATAATCAGATCTGAAGGAGCATCGGCAGTTTCAACAGCCAATTCATTCTGGTTATCTAAATCGACATTATTCATCATATTTTCTTCCACCCATCTCTCTTGTTCTTCTTCCCAAACTTCCCACATCAAGGTTGGCCTTGCCTCCCTATTCCTTTTCCTTCTCTTCCCATTTACCTCATTTTCCGATTCAAGAAAATCAATCTCCAGATCATGACCTTCGTGTTCTTCACCACTGCTTCCATCCACCCCCTCTTCCTCTTCCACTCCCAATTCCACTCTCTTGCGACTTGGATGCCCTCTTTTCTTTTTGCGCCCCACTTTCCGCCTTTTTGGCACCTTATACACAATTTCAGAATCACTTGCAGTAAATTCTAAATCACTAGTTCCAGCCAAATCCTTTGGTACAGAACTCAAGTCCCAAACATCTCTATGTTGACCTACATTTACACATAGTACTACAATTTATGTCACGAGAAGTAAAATCTGCAATTCAATCAATTACACTCACACAACCCCTCAACATTCAAATAACTCAAAATATGCATCCTAAATCACAAAATTTCAAGTTCAAAAAAAAAAAACTGAATCCAATACCAAACCAACATACATATATAGAAATACCTTCATCACTCATAGCGCTGTAATCAGAATCCAAATTTGTCACATTATCATCATCTTCATCAGTGCTCTCTTTATAACATCGGTTTTTTCCTGAGTTCACAACCGTGCATCACAGTTCAATATAAAAATCAAAAAGGATAAAAATAAATAAATAAAATTTAGTTTAGTGGAAATTTAAGTTTTCTCGAGTCCAAATCACCCAAAAACCTAGTCACTTCTTTCCTTACTATTATTTTCAAGCATTATTCCGAGAACCAAACAGACACCGATCGTATGACAAACCGAATTCCTCAGATAATACATACACAAAAAAAAAAAAAAAAAAAAACAACAACAACAACAACAACAAAAAAAAAAAAACAACAACAACAACAACAACAATATCAGAAAAATTGGTGAGAACACGAAACAAACAAGGGGATTCGAAACGTACCTTTCATCGATGGCCCAGAGCGACGAGACCGACGCTTCATATTTGTGAATCGAAGACGAACACACTCCAACACTAGGGTTGTGCAATGCTCAACAAGAGTCGTGTCTTTCTATGGAGAGAGAGATGTAGCGTGGTGTGGACGAGTGGACAGACAGTGTGGGCGGCGGGAAAGTGCTTATATAGAGAGAGAATATATATGTATATATATGTATGTAAATTTTTTACAGCAACTTCTTTCCAATTGTCTATACGCAATCATTGATACATTTTAAATTTTTGTAATTTTTATAATTGGTGCAATTATAATTTTAAAATAATAATATTATAATTATATTAATATATTAATTAATATACTTATTGTAATTTTTATAATCGATAAAATTATAATTTTAAAATAATAATATCATAATTCTATTAATATATTAATTAATTAATATGCTAATTGATATCTAGTGAATACAAGAGGAATAGGCATACCATTTTGGTTTAGAGTTGTCACCGTTTAGGTTATCACGTGATTACTTGTGTCCAAATACAAATTTTCATATTCTTAATCGTTAAATATAAAATTATAAATTTTATCTATTTTATCAATCAAAACATATGTCAAATATCATGTCACATACCAAACACTAAGGTCAAGTTTGACTAAATTAAAAAAGTACACTTATTTTATCTTTTTGTCTTTTTTAAATCGCATCAATCAACATCAATCACATCAATTAAATGAATAACTTCTCTTCTCAATGCTTAGGGTGTTTTGAAAAAATTATTAAAAATTGATTTTTTTTACTTTTAAAATTTTTTTTAATTATTTTATGTGAGAGATAATGTAATCCAAAATAAATTAAAAGATAATTTCTAACTTTTAACCCATACTCCCAAATGGCCTCTTGATAAATAAGCACTTTTTGACCGTACGAAATGAAGTGAAATAAATAAAAATATATATATTTTTTTAAATACGATACTATACAGTAAAAATAGAAAATAATTATGTTTATGAATAAAAGCAATTCATAAAAAGGTATATAGGCTTATTTTGACAATTAAAAAAAAAGAAGTCAATTTATTAATTTATTTAAGTCATATCACTTATCTATTTTTGTTTTATAAAAAACAAAAGAATCAATAAATTAATTTTTTTTCTATTTTCCAAAATAAATCATATTTATATAATATTAGGGGTGGTTTAGGATGTTCTAAATAAGTTCACTTTTTGAATTTTTGTGAAATATGGATTGGGTATGAGTTGGGTTGGGTTGGGTTTGAAGCGATATTGTAGAGATGTGATGTGACTTAAATAAAATGATGTGATTTAAATAGGATAGTGACTTTTTGACTTTTAATTTTTTTAGGCCAAGTTTGACTACTACACAAGAAGCTATCTTTTTATCTTTTTATCTTTTTTTCATCACATTACATCTCTACTTTTTTGCACATCTTTTCATAAAAAGATAAAAAGTGCACTTATTTAGGTCATCCCAAACAATCTTTAGTATATGCCAAACAGAGCCTTAGGGGTTGTTTGAGATGACCTAAATAAGGCTTGGTTTGGGAAATAGGTTGACTTTTTGGCTTTTTGGCTTTTTTGGCTATTTTAGCCTGGGCTAAAAAGCTTGGTTTGGGAAGGACTTTTTGACTTTTTGGCTTTTTTGACTTTTTTTGTGAGAGAAGAATGTAATGATTATAGGTTGGATGTGATGTTTTGTTTGTTATGGCTAAAATAGCCTATTTTGTTTTTTGTGGCTAAAATAGCCAAAAAAGCCTGAAAACCATCTTGCCAAACAGAGGCTAAGTGTACTTTTTGTCTTTTTACAAAAAGATGTGCAGAAAAGTAGAGAGATGATGTGATGGAAAAAAGATAAAAAGATAAAAAGTGTGTACTTATTTAGAATAGCCAAACTTAACCTTAGCTTCCGTTTGGGAAGTGGGTTGGCTTTTTGGCTTTTTGGCTTTTTTGGCTATTTTAGCCTGGGCTTAAAAGCTTGGTTTGGGAAGTGCTTTTTGGCTTTTTGGCTTTTTTGAGTTTTTTTGTGAGAGAAGAATGTAATGATTATGAGTTGGATGTGATGTTTTGTTTGTTATGGCTAAAATAGCCTATTTTGTCTTTTGTGGCTAAAATAGCCAAAAAAATCCAAGAACCAACTTGCCAAACAGAGGCTTAGTATGTCTATTGTGTGATTGCCTATTTATAATTCACCGTTGTTAGAGACTCGTATTTTATATCCATAAATACATTTATAATGATGTAATAAAGATAACACATCTAATATTACTGAACGTTTAACCAATTAAAAAACTAACCCTTGTTATATTACGTCAGGCAGAATTATAAAAAACTAACACTTGGTCTCAAACATTTTGGGTATGTTTGGTTTGTGTTTGAGAGATGTGTTTTAGAGATAAAAAGTACGAAAAATTGTTTGGTTTGGTTTTTTTCAAAAGATGTTTTGAAAAATTATTTTGAGAGAGAGTTTTGGAAAAAGTGATTGATTTGATGTGTGTGAGAGAGAGATTTGTTTGAAAAACTTGTTTGGTTTACAAGTTTTGAGAAATTTTTTTGGGAAAATTTATTTGGTTTGATTATTTTTAAAAACTTATTTGTAGAGAAAATTTTCCAAAATTTTTTCACAAATACAAACCAAACGAACCCTTTCATTTTTAATTGGAGAATTGGTGGTACAGGCTTGGCCAAGAAGCTATAGACCAATATTGCCTTGGGTGAATAATAATAACTTAATTCAACAATGATTCATTCTCCCTTTTTCTATCATCCCTTTTGACTCCTTCTCTCTCTTATTAGTTACATTTTATTTTTGTTTTTCTTTTTTTTCCTGCTCCTCCAATCACCACCCGCCACGTGACAAAGGGGGGTGAGGAGGTGACCCCCAAAAGGGGTCCCAAGCATTATTCAACTTAATTTAAGACTTCCGGTAATTTAAGACTCTCGGTGTGGTGTGTGTTGTCAATGGTTATGACTACTTTTTGGGAAGAAATTTTTTTAACTTTTTTTTTTTTTTTTGGTTAAAATAGCATTAAAAGATAAAATAAGTTAAAATAATTAATAAGACAAAATATCACATTAAATTCATAATTATTTCACTTTTTCTCTCATGAATATCACATCCAACTATAAAAAAATCTAACTGTATATCTTCCCAAACACAAAAAATTTAGCCTCCTAAAATAGTCAAAAACTAAAGGAAAATGTCTCGTAGCTCAAATTTTGTGGCTCAAAAGTGGCTCAAATGGCCAAAACGACGTCGTTTTGGCCATTTTTATGTTGTTCTGTACTCAAAACGACGTCGTTTTGGCCATTTGAGCCACTTTTGAGCCACAAAATTTGAGCTACGTAGCATTGTCGAAAACTAAAATAATTTACTAAAATAGCAACTTTCTAAACACTCACTTAGTTTTTTTTTTTTTTTATATTGGCAAATTACACGCTATCCCTTTTAATAGTTATAAATATAATATGTACATACTATACGTATCTTTTCCGTTTATTTTATTAACAAAATAGAGATATAAGAATTAAATTGAAAATTTTTATAATATAAAAAGGACATATTGTATTAATTTGTAATTTGAAAATATAAAAAAAATATAAAAAGGACATATTGTATTAATTTGTAATTTGAAAATATAAAAAAAATATAAAAAGGGCATATTGTATTAATTTGTAATTTGAAAATATAAAAAAAATAATGATAGTTAAGAAGATAAAACAGTAGGTTTAAGGGATGTTTTGGGAAGTTGATAAAAAGCTAGTTTTTTTATTTTTTACCAAGCTTTTTGACTTTTTTGAAAAGTGATTTGAGAAGTTGATAAAAAATTGACTTTTGACTTTTTTGTTTAATATTTGTTTATATTGTCACATCACATTAAAATGACCAAAATCCTTACCCAACTTATGAAAATTATATTTTGACTCATGTTTTTGTTTCAATTATTTTTTTGAAATGTAATATAACACTTTTTAATGTTACGCACTTGACATTATTAAAAATATTAAATTATTAAATGTTGCACTACACATCACATTAACATAATTAAATTCTTCCCACTAAAATTAAATTTATCAAATTTTTTGCAAAGAAATTGCATTATTCCCTTCAATTGGTAAGCCTGAACAGGATTATAGCCCCAAGATGACGCCAATGTCGCACCAACTTGTTCCGAATTGATTTCCTAACTTCGTTCATATGTACGTCATCATCGCCCTCTAGTTCACCATCATCGTCATCACCAACATCGTCAACATTTGGCATGTCATTGAAAGTAAATGTCTCTGCATTGGCAACTTTGTTGAAGGCTTCATCGTTGTCAGAGTTGCGGCCTATAAAATTATGTAGTGCCATTGAAGCCCCGACCAGTGGCACCTGCACTTTCCCATAATCATATCGAGGCATATTATGTAGGAATCCCCAGCGTGCTTTCCATACTGCAAACGTACATTCAATTGCACTCCGTATGGAGGAGTGCACCGTATTGAAAACTTCATTTGCATTTCTTGCTCGTCCAGTAGCGCGAAACTCTTCCTGGTGGTATCAACATCCCTTAAATAGCGCCAAATAGCCTTTTTGGTTCTTGTACCCTGCATCAATCTTTGGGGTGGGAAACTATTATCTCATGTTCTTGTGAGCTTTGGGATTGGGTCCACGGTGTTTTGCAAGGATAGTTTGCTTATTTTCATTTATTTGTGACACTCAGGTTCATTACTTGCATTCGTTGTGTTCCTTGGGTATAAGTTGACAACCTTTGTACAGTGAACAGTATGGGTAATTCTGTAGTAGTTCTATCCCAAAATGTGAATATAAAATTTTTTAGGTACAAACAGCTCACCCCTGGTGTACAATTTTATGCAAAGAATTCATGTCATATATTAGAGTCAACTACCACGTTGTGTATGAGATTGAATAAGCTTCTCGTCTAACGAAGAACTATAAACAGAAATACACGAACTGAGTAATAAAGGCTACGTCACTATTTTGTTTTAAAGTATCGACAAAGTGAACACTTGGAAATCCACACCATATGACGTACGAGATAATGTACGGAGATTAGGGATTAAAATTATGTACCATGAATCTCTGGATAATGGTCTTCGTATAAATCGATGAATTAGTTTCAAAGGAAAAACCACTATATATCATTGTAGGTTGTGTAGTTTGAAA